TTACCACATTGGAGACCTTAGAATATCATGGCTAAATAATTCAAAGGAAACGATTCTCCTCCACGCGATTACACACGGTTCTATGGAGTGAAAGTTGAATTTTTTCAATATTAGGTAGTGAACCGTAGGCGTCACGTAATCGCGTGGAGGAGAATCGTTTCTTTCGAATTATTTAGCCATGATATTCTAAAGTCTCCAATGTGATTTTTAATATGTAGCACTTTTTATATATTCAAAAACAGAATTATTTAAACATTAACAGAATCATTAATAGGTTTATCCTTACTAATGCGAACACATGCATGATTTAAATAACGAATTGCACCTGGTAAAATTTCACAACATATTGAGCGGTTCTGAAAACATTTTGAAGAGTGAGTGAAAAACCTAGATATTTCATACCATTATTGCTATGCTATTACTTTTCTGCATCTCTGCAGGAATCAGAACTTATCAGATTGAACGTATAATCAGGTTGAATTGAAGGAATCTTCCACGGCAAAAGCTCCATTACCACATAAAAACAGAAACCTTGGGACCTATAGCCTCATGAAGCATAGAAAAAAGAAGGGAACATAAGCGTCAGTTTCACACACAAGATAAAATTGATAACTCTTCCCGTGGAAGATTCCTTTGAGGTATCGTTTTCTGTGGTAATGAAGGCGGAAGCTTTTTCCGTGGAAGCCTTTAACACGTTGACGACCGCGCTATTTTTCGCTGTCTGGCGTGTGGGACCGCGCGCATTATTTTGACCGCGCGAGTGTGACATGACATCATGTCAACACGGTCCCACGAGAACTCCTTTTTCTCAGGAAGTGTGTATTTGTTATCTTTCTTGTGTGGTAGGTCTCCGATTATGCGATTTTGGCCATTTTAGCGATTCCTGTGATTTGATCATTATTCAAACATTTTTAGAAAAACTCGATAGCCCATCAACCGAAGCTTCTTTCCAGGGACCACGCCTTTTGTAACAATGCCTAAGTATGGCGCATACATCACGTAAATAAGTTACCTAAAATGTTTGAAAACCAGCTTAAAAAAGACTGTGACATGACATCATGTCACACGGTCCCACGTGGCCGAAAGAGTGTGGTATGACATCATACCACACGGTCGTCAACGTGTTAATAGTTCTGGACCACATTTTTGAACAATGAAAACGAGCGAAGACAATGTGTTGTCGAAGGCCTTTAAAATTCCAAACCAGTGGAGGCGATCAATCAAGCACGTAATGATATAACATGCAGCTGCGACACAGGATGCGCCACGCATCCTACTTCCGTTTATAATCGTCATTGCACATATAAGTGTTGGAAAATGACTTACGCATGGATGAGTAGCCAATGTCAAAATCTGTTTTCTAGACGAGACTGGTCCCTGGCCGAGCCAATAACTCGGAGGATAGGGGCTCGCTGCGAACGAACATCCCGACCCAGCCAATTGAGCATCGCTAGGTGGGGCGCCCATCTCTTTCGAATTTTGCTTACATTAAATGCGGAGAAAAAGACATACTACCTGTGAAGAGCGCGTTGAAGACCGAGTCAATAACCTAAGAAATCGGCGCCTCGCTTGTGTCTGAACCTCTTGATTTACACCCATGACAGCAATATTCCCTATATGATTTCTGTGCAAAATTGCTTATAGAATTGAGTTGCCCAGAAAGTTTTCGCCGATTTGGCACTCAAATTCAAAGCGCTTATCTCGGTTCAAACAAAGCAAACAAAGGGTCTTTGCTCAAATTGTGAGATATAACAATCGCTGGAGTTCTGTGGGCTAAGAGCTCGCTGTTAGATCGTCGTTTCACCACCATAATGGTTTCAGTGCTCTTCTTTCCAGGTAGACCTTCCAGATGTGGAAAGGTGGTAGTTGGTAGGCGATAGGTTCAATGTGTAAAATTTTAGCAGCATAATTTCGTAGCTCAGCTAGTTCAGAAGTCCGAGATGGGGTTGTGCAACAGTGGGTAGAAGAGCCGGCGGCACCCAATTTTCGACTTCTTTGGGCTTTTACCCTCACCGCTATGTTTGGAAATCTTATGTCGGTTACGCCCAATTCAAAAGCAGCCTGTTCAACAGTTTCATGCAGATTGGTTTGGTCAAAACCCTCAGCTGATCTTTATCAGTCTCCGATATCACTAATCTCCTTCGAAGCTTTCAACATCGCGAGAAAGACTTGACTGCACAGCGTATTTTTTGTGGACTCTGAACCAAATGCTTAGTTGATATCGCAACTTGCTTCCGCACATTTCCGAGCAAGTTTGAGGGGAAACAAGAAACTAGTGCAAAGCAGGCTGTTGAGTATGTTGTATTCAAGACTTCAAAAAAAGTGGAAAGGTGATTCAGTGTTGAAAAAACAGTAGATTTGGATAGAGCGAGGAACGCGCTTTCTAACGGTATATTAATTATTAGTGGTTTCTTGAAGGTGACCCTAAAAATAAAGCATGTGAGCTACAAAAACGGCGGAAACTTTCTGAACAACCCAATATGTGGCGCTTTATGGGAGGAAAGAATGTGTCATATTGCCGTGCACGATTTCCTCGAACTCCAACTTTTATATTCAGTAAGAACCTCAGCAAGGTCAGAATTCAGACCAGAAAGACCCACATGTATCGGGACGGAAAAAGGAAAAAGATCAAAAATCGCCCATTATTGATTGAAATGTTGAAGGGAGGAGCTTTAGTGTCCCTGTAACATCCACAGCGAACGACGCTCACAGAAACTCGCCCACCGCATCGCGACGTCGCGACTGCGACCACTGGCGCGGGTCTTCGGACGATTCTGTTGACACGCACCCATAGAGCGACGGTGTCTAAGAACATGTGCTGGAGTGGATGAATAGAGAACATTATGTAACTGCTTTTGGAC